AAAATGGCCCAAAAAGTTTTCCACGGAAAAATAATATTAAAAAAACTTTTCCTAAACTTTCGGAAGTACCTCGGGTTAAAAACAGAAAATCTTCTGAGTTATCGAGTGTGCTGAATACGAAAGACCACTTTTCAGCAACTCTAAACCAACTTTATTTTTTTTCCGGTGATATGATTTTCTACATCAAAAGACTGTGATGAATAGGATCGTGCTTGTCCGTATCAAGATTGAGAAAATATTCACAAATTAAACGCCAGTTAGCCACCATATCTGATCAAACACTGGTATTAATATATTCTATAGAAGTAGATATGCTCTGTTTATTGGTGGAAGTCGCATCTCAAAATATTGCTTTGTTCAAAAGATAAAGCCATTTTACGGAACTAAACCTTACCACTAACGAGGGAACCTCTTGAGGTTATAAACCGCTTTTGAATTCGGACTACTTGTATCTTGTAGACCTCAGTGAGTAGTGAAATACCCTAAGTTGGTTCATCCCGATGGTACTTTATTGCTGAGATATTGAACTTTTAGTCAGTTTTTGCCTATAGAGCTTGGATTTCGAGCAAAATCCGACTTTCGAATTTTGACTTGAAACTTGCCACACTGGTAGCTCATGGTCATAGTAGTACGACGGGAAAAAATTTGATCCTAATGAATTTTCCTGCCTTGAGATATTGAGACCCGAACATCTGACCCTCACCCTCACCTTCAGGTAAAATATTCGAGTCTCAATATCTCAAGGCAGGAAAATTCGTTAGGATCGAATTTTTTCCCGTCGTACTACTATGACCATGGGCTACCAGTGTGGCAAGTTTCAAGTCAAAATTCGGAAGTCGGATTTTGCTCGAAATCCAAGCTCTATAGGCAAAAACTGACTAAAAGTTCAATATCTCAGCAATAAAGCACCATGGGAATGAACCAACTTAGGGTATTTCACTACTCACTGAGATCTACAAGATACAAGTAGTCCGAGTTCAAAAGCGATTTATAACCTCAAGAGGTTCCCTCGTTAGACTGGTATACAGATTGTGGAACTGGGATGATCTTTCAACAATGATATTATCTAGAGAACTTACTCTGAGAGATTACTTACTACTATATTGGTTAAGGTTATATAAGCATCTCTCTGAGTCTCCTGAGGCACTTGTCTATCAACAAACCTGGACTGCGTATCAGATTGCTACCCAGCCAACGAGGGAATTGGTATAAAGCGAGTGGTTTCCGCGAAGACTCGCTAACAGAGCACATCACACGAATATATAGACGTTCTCAACTTCACAAACATTCAAAAACAGCAATATAGCGTTTATAAAAAAATATCAACACTAGTTCAATTTTTTGTATGCAAATACTTTAACTTGCCATCTTAAATACGTTTTTTTTTGTTGTATTGTATAACAAAAGAAGTTTTTAATTTCTGTTTAGGTTTACATTTTTCTACTTATTGATTTGTGCGTAATTTAAGATAAAATTGAAATTCTTATTGCTTAATCCTTCCATCTATTCCTTTTATCCGTCTTCTACTAATATGATCTACTTGTGTTATGTGTATTTTATATGAACCTTTTTTGTTAACCTTTTTCAAGAAACAAATAAACTATCTCAATGTTAAAAAAAAATATTGTGTTGTATACACTGTTGTATACAAAAGCTTCGTAGTTGGCTAAAATATTTACTTGACTGATGCCAGCTTTCATTAATTACAATTATATCATCACCAACAAATTTCCAGATACAGGCAAGAACTGTCTTTATAAAAATTTCATGTTTATAAGAGTTTCGCATTTCTAAAGTTCTGAATTTTCCCGTCATCGACCAGTGCGTTTGAATAGAAATAATGAGAACGTGAAACAAATTGGTAAACATCAATGTATTATAGACAATTGACAGTACTACACATGGAGTATAGATACAAATACTAAATACTAAATAAAAATAGGTGCCATGCGAGATCTTCTTTCCCAGCCGTTCATGTGTAGTCTCGGATTTCTTCCGAGCCTCATCACTAGTACCGGGTAGCTTCCAGTGACATTTAAACTGCATAAAACAAACGTATTCAGCCAAGCTGAACCGGATGGCAATGCTCGTTTTCGTAAAAGAATTCTAAAACAGGGGTTAATGCTGCGAGTTTCAGAGTTAGACCTAGGTTTACTAGAGATCTCCTAGAGAACTGATTTTTCAACCAGCTTTGTGAACGTTTTCCGAGTGATAAAAATTTTCCACATAGTTGATAGAAATCTTTTTTACGGTGTACAAGCACGGACAAGATATGAAAACTACATCAATCGATAGAAGAGAGCGCCAGCTACATTTTGGTAAAACTCTAATTTTGAAAAGCTTTTTCCTTGGAGTAAAAACTCGGCTTTAAGTCCAGAGTGCCATACTCTTTAGTGTAGCTGCTGAATCTCAGGAATGAATGGATTAAAACAAAATTCTAATAATGTGGAAGTTAAGTGAAAGAATTTCTTTCTTTCCAAAATATCTTTTGATGTTTTGGATCTTAGGGTTATTTTTGAAATATCTTTTCTCCGCGAGAGGGTAAACATTTTTTGGACATCTTTGCGTCATAATGTAGTCGAGTAGTTACTGTATACGGGTATGAAACGGGAAATTTAGACTTTTAAGTTAATGGGTTCATGGACGGATGAGTAGAAAAGTTAATAAACAGACAAAAATGAAACAAGAATTGGAGAGAGAAAGAAAAAGATTGATCGTCAGTCACAGAGAAATATATGATTACATTCATATTCTTTTAAAGCGAACAAAGATAGAGTTGTGCAAATTTTATTAATCTAGTGTCTCGAAGTTAGTGTGCAACACCAGGGCTGTCTAATCACACCATAAATTACAATCGGCACACAACAACTTTAAAATGTTTGTACAATGGTGGCACGGTTATAGTTTGAGTAACTGTCCCTATGATAAAACCTGAATAGCCCCGATAAGGTTGAAAATCTATCTTCTCTGTTAGATACTGAACTTACTGTAGTGTCGAAAATGCAAAGCGATTTTTGCTCCTTTCTAATACTTAACGCTCAAGTACTTGCTGTGATTGATAGATGAAAAATTGGCATGGTTGGATAGAGCTCATCGAGTTCAATACCACGTTTTAAGAAGTCAATTTTTTTCACAAATTTGGACAGTGGCGTATTCTTGCATTAACGACATTTCATCTATCTCTTGCTCAGTTTTTAATCGTTGGTGAGAGATATGGTGGAATGAGAATAAAAGAGGAAGATCTGAAGCAATATTCAATTGATACTCGATCCACTCCTTGTGCACAATCAATGTGCTCCAGGCACACATTAATTTTTACAGTGTACAACCAAAGAAATTACTCGGTGCCAAGAAGTAACATTCTGCAGCTATAAAAGACAACATTCAAATACATTCAATGAATGAAAAGATTATGAATGTCATTCATAATCTATTAAGGCGTTTTAGCCTCAATCCCGTTTTTATCTGCCGTAATAACCTCCCGAAAGGTCTACGTCTACTGTGATACCCGCATTATGGAATTTTGAGAATAATATGCTTCATACATGATAATAATGGGTAAAATGTTTCGTGTTCTCAACCACTTCAAAGGAGGGTACTAAAACTAAGCTCACAAAGACTTTTAGCGACAAGTTTATGCTGCTTTAGATGATAGTTTAATGCAGATAAGTCAACTCTTAGTCGACAAAATAGCGCATGAATTCTCGGATTCAGCAGACAGGGTAAAGACCCCGCCGGATAAGGGTCGAAATCTGCCCCCCTCTTGTTCCAAGCTAGTATCATGTTATATTTGTAGAGTGATCCTTGTCTCATCAGAGTCTGATATTTGTTTGGTCCTAGCTTTTTTATTTTGAAAATAAAAAAGCTAGGACCAAACAAGATGAGGCAAGGATCACTCTACAAATATAACATGATACTAGCTTGGAACAAGAGGGGGGCAGATTTCGACCCTTATCCGGCGGGGTCTTTACCCTGTCTGCTGAATCCGAGAATTCATGCGCTATTTTGTCGGCAATACTTACGAACAATCGATTTAATTTGAGAAAAAGGTATTGTTGTGGCCAATAATAGCCACAAAAATATCTTTTGTTCGATGAATTGTCGGGTCCCCGCTTGTGAAGCTCCGGGATCATCTCGAGATATTTGTCTAGTGGTTGATGATATTGAGGGCACAAGATAATAGTGTGTTGAAATATAATTTATTTGAATGATTTCAATAGTTAAAAAATGAACATATATAGTAAAAAACAGAGAAAGGGGGCCAGAAAGTAAATCTCTTTGTCACTCTTTATAAACTGATTCCACTCTGTGCCAGGTATCTAAATCACCGCCATTTATTAAGTAAAAAAAACAACTTCTCTTCGATAAACAAAATTTTCGTTTTGTTTTCATCAAATCCCTGAGCAATGGTTCTTGTTTATGTTTTTAGTTGGCACGATCAGGCGCTATCAGAAAACGCCCGAAATCTCTATCTGACAGAGGATATTATATTCCTTTCGAAGAAAGTTTAAGACAAGTGATACAAACACCCGAATTACAAAAAATAATAATGGAACGTCTCAATAATTCAACAACGTCAACGAGTTCAGTTACCGTGAGAATGGATATAACAGATGGAATTGTCGGTAAACGACATGTTGATTTTTATCGTCCAAATTCTCTGAAAGTATATTTTAACTTAATAAACAATATTTTCTTCTATTCTTAAATGCTCTTCTTACGAGGGAACCGTCCGAGGTGATACCCTCCGTTTCTAATGAGTTATACCTCAATCGATAGAGTATATCGAGCTAATAAAAAGCCTAAAAGGATTCGCACCCGTTACTCTTGAAGACCCGGTTTTCTGGAAAACCAGTTTTTCTGAAGCTCTAAAAAATAATCAAAACTTTTTCTTAGTAAGAGATGATTGTAGCATGCACATTTCTGATTAAAATGAGACATCTCCCAGCTCTACACGACCTTTCTTTGTAAAGTTACAGAATTTACAAGAAAAGCCCTAAATGTTCATTGTTGTTGATCCTAATGTTGTTTATGTCAACAGAAACGATACACAAGACTTTATATTTGTTTACGCAGATGAAATACTAGTTCATGTAGAACAGAGCGGTGATGTAGCAACATTTAGTGGAATATTGTGTTTGTTATTATCATTCTATTACACATTCGATTTACAATATCCTAAACATCTGAGATCATTCATGGAACTGATTGATTTTTACATTCAACGACAAGAAAATTTTAATAAATTATCTATTACTACACAAAATGCTGTATTAAAACTTCCAACACGTCAACAATAATTTACGTGAACAATGTTTTCTTTTGTATAAGTTATATTCATGATTCATGTGTTCATTAATATTTTTTGTTTTCTGCGATTTTTCTCCAGAAAAAAAGGCAATGCTGCACGATATCCGCAAAAATGCTCTTTCATAGTGAATACGGTAGCGACTGCCAATCCATATAAAAAAAAACCTATGGACGTATGAAAAACATGTATGGAATAGACACATTTTTTGGGAACATTCTTAGTCACATAATACGTCTTTGAAAGACACTGTTCATCTGTTCTGAGACAGGATGCATTAATATGTGTCCCGGAAAAGAGCACATGAAAAAAATACATGGAATGGACATATTCTTTTGGTACATCCGAGGACACATTAAATGTCGCGAGGCAGAGCATTTCCGATGTGCCCTTGAATGTGCCAAGAGAATGTGTCCATTCCATGTACTTTTTTTTATGTCCTTTTACAGGACACATTTTTTTTACAGTGTACATTTCAACGTGTGATGAACAACCTTATTGGGTATCAATTTATTTTGACATTGAGATTATGTCAATTTATTTCGATGATATTATTATTTTTTCAAATTCATTTGAAGAACACATGCAGCATGAATGTAGGATTTTTCTAATCATTTTCTTTCATCATGTCATAAGTAAATATCAATAAAAAGTGTTCTTTCTTCCATGTTGGAAAAAATTACATAAAAGAGCAAGCAATATTGTGACTATTTTTCTGTTTCTATAAGTTCATGAGTTCATGAGTTCGTTTATGACTTATTCACGAATAGAGTTTGTGTGTAGATACGAAGAAGTCAATTGTTAGACAAAAATACGAAATCGCGAACTTTTCAACACATTGGTAAGTTAATAGTATTTTTTTATTTTCTTTTATTCTTCATAAAACATATTCTTTTGTATGTTAAAGTTACTTCCAACCGTGGAAGAGTATGAATAAAGATCCTCTGCATTCGTTAACTTGCTTTTCGATAATAATTGAAAGAAGACTTAACATGAAAGATGCAATAAAAAATTTATTTCTAATCATGCTCACGAGGGAACATCCCCGCTGCCCCGCTTCGCTTTCGTTCGTTCATACACCCTTCGATAGGAGACCTCGAATAGGTAAAAAGCCAAAAAGGATTTTGACCGACGGCTTTTTCCTTCGGGAGCTACAGCCATTTTACTGGAATTTTAGCCCATAGTACGATATACGCCAACAAATCGAATGGTAGTATTTCGACCTGAAATTTTCCCCACAGGTAGGTCTGCTTGTAACTAGAATACCCTGAAATTTTCTGCTCGAGAAAATGTTTCCTTCACGAGATATTGAATTTTCAAAAAACACTTATATCCGATGAAAGATGGGGAGCCCGAGAAAAGTAACATAAAGTGATCAGATTTGGTAGAAAGTTTGGCAGAAAATTGATTTATATGTAATGACGAGTCACAGGAGAATAGCGCACATCATAATGAGTCCCAGTTAGTATTCTTGTAGTACATCCTCCTTTAATATTTGAATGAAGTATCGCTGTTACTACCAATCGAGAAAAATCACATAAAGTGATCGCATTTGGTAGAAAGTTTAGGAAGTATATTAATGTTAGTAACGGCTGAGATATTACTCGTAAATATTACGTCCAAACAGGTATTCGATTCTGGACGAGTAACATCTGATACCAACTGGTGTAGGCCTTCAACACACGAAAACTGAATAGTTTATCCCCTTCATCCGTACTTGGTACAGATGGACACCAGCTGAAACAGTGTCCATTCAAATCGTCAATAAAGATTATAGAGTCTATGGGATCCTATCTTTCATTGGGTATAAGTGTTTTTTCGAAATTCAATATCTTGTGGTCATTACATATAAATCAATTTTCTGATATTTGAGCAACAGCGATAGCTTGGAGTTCGAGATTTATGGAGATAACAGATAGAATAATTTCTAATAAGCTGGTAATAGTTTCTTTTAAAGATGCATCTTGGTTTAGTAAGGAGCTAAAACAGTTATTAGACAGCAAGATAAACTTTTTAAAAAATATTCCCAACCAATGTATCCGTCGATCCACCGTTAAGCGGCCGTTAAGTTCGAAGAAGCCTGTAAATCTGCTAAACAGCATTACCTTAATAAGTTTGCGACTGATTTGAATTCGTCATCTAAAAAATGGTGGCGTTTCATGAAACATACAACTGGTAAAGAATGTTCATCATGTATGCCATCTTTACTCGATATAAATACAGACTTATTAGTTAGCGAGCCGCTCGGTAGAGCCGAATTACTTAACCAACTTTTTGCAAAAGTTTGCACAGCATCTCAGAATAATAGCATTTCAACGGGTTGTTATGTCGCAGTTTCATATTTATGACACTGAAGTCTTTGAATTATTATCAAAATTAGACACATCAAAATCTTGTTCGCACAAACAGAATGTTATTAGAGGCACCACCTTCTGTTACATCAATATTAGCTACCTTTTCAATGAGTCGCTTAACACTGGTTTTTTTCCTAAGTCTTAGAAAATAGGTTTTGTCCACTGTTTGTATAAATCTGGAGATTCTCAGTTGCCAAGCAACTATAGGCCAATTACATTGTTAAGTTCCGTTTCAAAGATCTTTGAACGTATTGGTTTTAATCATGTTTATGGCTTTCTCCGTAATAATACATTTTTCCACGCTAACCAAGCAGGATTCCTACGA